CTCGGGTGTGTTTCAGATGGGCTACAGGCCATTTCTTCATGCTTTAGAGTTGCTGGTTTCTAGTGTGCCTGTTGTTCTTCGCGATCGCGAAGTGTTTTTGAGAAATCAGTGATTTGTTCATCGCAGACGCGATGATGGTCATACATTCGCGAAGCTTATGCAGTCATTTGTCCGCGTTCGCACCCGTCTCTCCTCGTTCGCGTAGTGGAGCTGGGAGTTAGTGGTCTTTTACTCATCGCCTTCGCGTGTCTCTATGTGCATTTGGGTAGCCCGTTGTCATTATTCATCGCGTTCGCGAGGTGTGTGCCGCAAACACGAAGCTTTATTTTTTCCGGGCAGCATTTAGTTCTTCTTGATCGCGAGGGTTATTCCGCGATCAAGTAAGAGGAATCACTAGGGCATATTATAAGAACTCTATTTCGAGGGCTTTTGTTATTTTATCACTCTTTGAGTTAGAGAGATCGGATTTGAGCGATTTTTGATGGGTTATTCACGTGTTGGATTGGATTAAGTGTTTTTTACCCGGAATTGATTATATTTCATGATTGCATAATTATTTTTTTCATTAAATTAGTGATTTGAATGGGAGAAAAATGGGAATTGTTGTGAAAACTTTCAAAAATATAAAATGATGAGTTGAAGGATGAATTGATGTTGGAATTGGATAAATTTGGTATGGTTGGACTCGTATAGGAATGGGTGTAAGGATTTTATGAATTTTATCGTGTTCCGAGGTGCGGGCCTTTTGGGTTGTCTTTTTAGTTTTCATTAAATATCAAAGCTTTTTTATCTAGAATTATTTCCTATGGTTTTTATTTATGGTATTAAGTTATTTTGGCTAGATTTGAGCCGTCTGGAGGTTGTTTCATACAAGAAGGTCATTTTAAAGTATCGGTCTAGCTTATTTAGGTAAGTATCTTACCTAACTTGGTCTGGAGGAATTACCCCTTAGGACTTAAGTTGTTTGTGCTATTTGTGTCATGTGAAAGCCGTGTACGCGAGGTGACGAGTACGTACTCGGGCTTATATGTGGAAATTGACCAGTCTAGACTCCTAAGCATCTTTTATGTACTTATTTTAAATTGTTAGCACATGTTATATCTTTTATTCGTCATGTCTACTATCATATGCTTTATTGGAAGTTGTCGTTACGTGTCACATTCTTTACTTGCCGAGTTTGATCTTATATGCTTTATTTGGAGATGTTATCACTTTGTGTCATTATGCGATTTCTTTTATTGTGGAGCTACTCTAAGTTGAAATTGTCATCACATGATATCCTTTTGTTAATGGGTTGTTCTCATGTATTTAGACGTAGTACTAGTTCGTTCTCTCTCCTAAATTGTTAGCCTAATTCATAGTCTGAAGTTTGCCATTTCATGCAAGTACATTCACTATCAAGGTTATCCTTAAATAATTAATTGGAATTGAAGTTATGGAGAGTCATTAATCTATTCTAATTGAAGTTGAATTTAAAGGGGTTGTTGTTTTTTGTTAAGTTACTTTTCTATTCATTTTGTTTTTATTGAGATTCTATATACGTTGTGCTGAGCCGCGAGCTATTTGCAGTGAAAATATTGATATCGTTGAATCTTTGAAAAGTTTGTGGTCTACGGGCACTTGTGATACGAGTTGATATGTTGTGTTGTTGTGATGATAGCACATGTGAATTATTGTGTGGTTTGGTTGTTGTTATGCGGAGTATAAGGGTAGCATCTCACTGTTGTTGAATATATGGAGTGATACGGGTGGCTATTTTATTATTGTCCTAGCGATGATATGGGTGGCTATTATATAGAGTGACACGGGTAGATATATGAGATATAAGGGTGGTTATTATACGGAGTAATACGTGTGGTTATAGGAGAGATAAGGGTGGCAATGTCAGGGATGATGTGTGATGGTCGGAGACATTGTGTTTGGTAATTTTCGTGTGATAGTGTACTTTTCTTTGTATTTGTCATACACCTTGCATGACTTGCTTTGTTGTTTTGATAAGCTATTCGATGTCTTTGATATTACTTGCTGACTTGGACTACACTAGTACACTCACACAAGCATACACCATAGCATGCCACTTATACTAGCTCAGGAGTATGAAACTTGACATTTATTAATCATGCCCATGTATTCTTGTATTATCTGTTTCCATATTGATATTGAGCCTTTGACCATGCCAGGTGGATTGTGATTTGTGATCCTGAAATCATATCGCACGGATTGTGATTGTGAGCCTGTGACCATATCGGGCGGATTGTGAATTTGAGCTTATCATCATGCCGGGCGGATTGAGATTTTGGCACGTGAGTTGTCTGTGCTATTGTGATGCGAGATGTGGGCACGAGGTGCCGTGAGTATATGATTGTGGGTTGAGACCCGTGACTTGTGACTATGAGATGAAGTAGCACAGAGTGATTTCGTTGTGAAACTTGTGTTCGAACGGCTTGATTGATTGATTGTCCTTTGTGTTTCCATATTTGGTTTTAATGATACTTCATGGGGTTCTTATTGCTTTACTGATTATATCACTTATTGGTTCTTATTGACATTTACTCATTTTCTCTTTCCGTTATTAGTTTTATAATTTTATACTGCATATGTTATTTTGTCTAGTGAGTGTCTTGACTTGTACCTCGTAACTACTCCACCGAGGTTTGTCTTGATACTCATTGGGTACCAACCGCGGTATACTCATTCTATACTTCTGAATATTTTTGTACAGATTCAGGTACTTCGGAGTCTGTTGGTTGTTAGATAGCGGATCAAAAAGTGCTGTGGAGAATTCAAGGTACACCTGTCGTCGCGTTCGCAAGCCTCAGAGTCACCTTCGGAAGTTATTTTTGTACAGTTTATTTCTATTCCGGAACAGTTATACTTAGAGATTTTTTAGCGATCTCAGTAGAGCTTATGACTTGTACTACCGGTTTTATGATTTTTTGTTTTGTATAGAAATTTCCGTTTTATATTTAATAGTTGTTGGTTGAATTTTGCCATTAATTCAGTAAGTGTTAGGCTTACCTAATATTAAAGACTAGGTGTCATCACGATATCCCACAGAGGGAAATTAGGGTCGTGACACTACCCTAATTTTGTGGGCCCATCAGAAACGACCCATTGAGCAATAATCATTGCTTCTCTATATTTTTACTAATTTTTTGGCGTTTTAGGACCATAAAAAAGGAATTCGACACGATTTCTGATTTTTCGTGTGCTAATGCCCACGCCATCTTCCTAAATTCAGGTGACCATTCCCGAACCGCCTAAAATTATGTGGGCCCATCAGAAATGACCTAATAAACAATACTCATTGCTTCTCTATGACTGTTCCTCGTTTTTTCTATTTTAGGGCCATAAAACAGGAATTCAGGATGATTTCTGATTTTCGTGTGCTAATGTTTACAAATTTTCATGAATCTGGGAGACGTGTTCCGAATCGCCTGAAATTTCGTGGGCTCATAAAAAATGACTTAATGAACAAACGTCATTATTTTTCCATGACCGTTCCTTATTTATTTGTATTTTAGGGCCACAAAACAGGAATCCATAACGATTTTCAATTTTTCGTGTGCTAGTCCACGACATCTTCATAAATTCGGGCGACGGGCTCGGAATCGCCTAAACTTTTGTGGGCTTATCAAAAACGTCCTAATGAACAATAATTATCACTTATCTATGATCTTTCCTCTTTTTTGGCACTTTAGGGCCATAAAAAAGGAATCCATGACGATTTTTAATTTTTCGTGTGATAATGTTTACGCCATCTTCATGAATTCAGGTGACGGGCATTGAATCACCTAAAAAGTTTTGGGGCCCATTTAAATTGATCTAATAAACAATAGCCATGCTTTTCCATGACCGTTCCAATTTTTTGTGTGCTAATTTCCACGCCATCCTCATGAATTTGGGCGACGAGCTCCATATTGCCTAAAGTTTTTTGTGCCTATCAGAAACGACCTCATGAAAAATAGTTATCGCTTCGCCATGACCGTTCCCCAGTTTTTGGCATTTTAGGTCCATAAAAGAGAAATTCAATTTAAACATATGGTTCAATTTATTTATTTATTTTGGTCAGATTCGAAGTGCAATTTACTTCATATGAGTTGTGAACTGATTTTCATAATGTAAGAGCGCAGGGATAGCTCCGAATCACCTAAACGTTTATGGGCATATCAGAAATGATATATTGAACAATAGTAATTGCTTCGCAATGACCGTTTCTCATTTGTTTTTGGCATTTTAGAGCCATAACATAGGAATTTAGGTTGATTTCAAATTTTTCGTGTGCTAATGTTCATGCAATCTTTATGAAATCGGTACGAATCCCCTAAAATTTTTGTAGGCCCACTAGAAACAACCTAATATGTTTTTTTCTTTTTGATGAAATATTGAGAATGCAAACCGTTAATTGATTACCAAACGGAATTGCGAAGGAAAATTATTGTATAAGTAGTATATGGTTCAGAAGATACGAACTCTTCACGCTTCTTTAAGCTACGACAACAAATTATCCAGTTATCTAGTTAAAGATCAACTGTAACCAAAGGAAAAGCTAAGAAAATTGCAAGGGCCGTTGAATAAGAAAAATCGTGTTCAATTTATTTATTTATTTTGGTCAAATTCGAAGTGCAGTTTACCATATACTGAGTTGGGAACTCATTTTCACAATGTAAGAACGCAGGGATTAAGCCATGATTTGAAACTTATGAGTTCGGAATTTTAGTCATCTTAAGTTATTAGACTCTAAATTAATAATATGTACGTATTCAATAATGTTTTTAAGAGCAATACAGAGTTTGGACCACAATTACTGGGCTCGGTCGATCATCTCCTCCAGATTATAGCTCTGTCCCTGGTAAGAAGTTTTTTAAGGTGTAAATTTCTGCAAATTGAATTGTAGATGGTGCATATATTGAAGTTTCTGGATAGAGCTTTACAGATTATTATTGCATGAGTATGGGGTTGATTACAGATTATTATTGATCCAAGACCGTACACCAACCTAACTAGTAAAAAGGATAGATCATATATAAGATCACATACACTTACAACACGCTCACTCTTATCATAGAGAGAGATTTTATTAGAAAATCTGAAAAGACAAACACAACAACATGCAGAATAGAAAGGCTAGAGATCTATCCAATTAATTTGGACGAATGTCGAAGCCCTTAACAATGATGCCAGATTTCGAAGTGGCGTTATTGATTTCCATCAACCTCATTTCGACTTCACCATCCTCTCCTAAGTTGTTGAAAAACTCACCAAGCTTGATTTCTAACCAGCCATCGCTTCGAAGATGTGGAAACCGGCCAAGTTCTCCTGGTAATTCCTTTTTCTTCGAGATGAAAACAGTGGTACCCTCAATGCCTGCGTCCTTTGCCACCTCCTTCACAAATCTTAGCGATGCAATGGATCGTTCAAGTCCACGAGGGTTATCTGTTAACTTGAACACTAAATATACTGCATAACTAGTCGTTTGAATAAGATTTTTTGTCTCTATCTTTCCATAAATGTCAAGCCAATTTACGCTACGAAGCTCCGCCACTTCAATACTGTACAAAATGTTGAGATGCAAGTAATTAAAATATATATTTCTCTTTTTAATGAAATTTAGAGAGAGATAGAGAGACAAACTTAGGATCAACAGTTTTCCATGTCCAGAACTGAGGATTGTTCACCCATGTAATTGTAAGGTCTCTTGCCGCTATCCACTGTCCTTGCTGATTTAATACAATATGTAAAACAATATATTAGGGTTCCTTAACATTTGATGAGTTGTTAAACACAAGAAGAATAAGAATATATCAACGAGAAGAATAACTTACCATCTTTCTTTTATTGCTATGTATGATATGATGCTCTTTATATCTTTTTAGTTGGCTCAACTCCCTTTTGCTTCGTCCTCACATTTATAGAGCATTATTGGACTCCAAAATTTGTCACCATGTATAGTACTACTATAGTAGGTAGGTTTAACTAGAATAAATGTTTTTTTTAAAACTTGAATGTTAAAAACGTGTCTATTGGAAAAACCCTTAAGGTTGTCTTTTTAGGAACAGACAAGTTACTCCAAAAATTTATCACAATAGAGTGATAACATAAGTGTTGTTTTTCATTGGAAAAGACGTGTCAACTGACAATCCATTATTAGAAGCAGCAGAGTAGGTTTGCACATTTTACGACCATTTGGACCATTCATGAAGAAAACATTGACTGATATTAAACCTCTTCTTTCACGAGTCACGAGAGGAGTAGAGCTCTGGTAAATTTCAAATTTGTGTTTGTATTATAGGAAATTGAACAAGTTTGCTCCCCATTACCTTGTTGTTAGGGAAAAAAATTATTTTTCTATTGGCTTCACGGAGCTCCAACCTCAGAATACTTTTAAATCATAAAGTAATGGGTAAATTTAGTCCGTTTTGTTTTGGAGAATTTTGATATGTGACGTCTACATATTTCATATTAGAGCTTAGTTCATGGTAAAGGCAATACAAGACAATTTGCTAAATTTGACAACAAAGGATCCTAAGCATACAACCTAGTCTGCTGCCAAATAAAAGAGCATTTATTCTTGTTATACTAACTAGGTTAAGTTGGGCTCAGGTTAAATGGATGAACTTGTTTACCCGTAAAACGGTATAGTTGAATTTGTTCGTGGTTAGTAGATAAATGAATTAATTTGATCCGAAAAGTAACAAAATAACTGATGAAATATAAAATACTTAGCCTTAGAATGTAGATGGAACAGCAGAGCTGATGTGTCCGGGAACAAGTTTCTCGGGCACAGCAATGATAAGATCAAAAGCGAGAGAATAAAATTATATTAAAATGATGTATAGAATGATGTATACAATGTAGTATTAAAATGCACTTTTCACATTTTCGTACTAGTGAT